AATTAAAGGTCTTTGAGCCTATTATTCATGATCCTAGAGAAGCTAAATAAGAAGGTGAACCTGACGAAAATCATGTAGCTATCCTCCTGGAGATTGGAAATAGACAAGAGTCCCAGGTAACCTCGGGTGCATTGGGGGGGTGGAGGGGGCTGTTGGAAGGGGAGAGGGTTAGAGAGAAGGGAGTAGGGGAGAAATGGGGAAAGATCGGGGGATTGGGATGGGGGGAGGGAGAATGGATAGATATGGGATCAGAGAAGTATATACCTTAACTAAGGGAGTCATTTTAGGGTTTACAAGAGACTTGAGTATAAAGGGGATCCCAGGTCCAAGGAGAGATCCCCAGATTGTTCTCTGGACAGAGGAGAGGGTGCTGAACCGGCCTTGGTCCACAACCATACTGATGAACATTTTGCATATCACCATAGAACCCTCATCTGGCGATGGAGGGAGATGGAGGCGGAGACCCACGGCGAAACACTGGACCTAGCTCCCTAGGTCCAAAGGAGAGGCAGAAGGAAGGAGAACGTGAACAAAGAAGGCAAGGGCAGAGGAAACCTTCATCCGACGATGGATGGCGATACAGACGGAGACCCATATTGGAGCACCGGACGGAGCCCTCCATGGTCCAAATGAGGAGCAGAAGGATGAAGAAAATGAAAAAAGAAATCAGGACTGCGATGGGCGCCATCACCCACTGATACAAGGGGACTGATCTAATGAGAGTTCACCAAGGCCAGCTGGACTGGGACTGAACGAGCACGTGATTTAACCAGATACTCTGAATGTGGCCGGATTCTCTGGATGTGGCTGGCCCGGAGTCTTTCTGAAAAGCCATTGACAATGACACTGGGACTTGTTTCCTCTGCATATACTGGATTTTTGGGATCCAGTCTGTTTGGATACTCACCTTCCTGGACCTGGAGGGAGGGGGGAGGAACTTGAACTTCCCACAGGGCAGGAAACCCTGACTACTCTTAGGGATGGAGAGGGAGGAGGAGACGGAGTGGGGGAAGTGGGAGGGTGTTGGGAGGAGGGGCGGAAATGGAAACTTTTATAATTTAATAAACTTTAAAAAAAATTATTTCTTCAGGCCAACAGTATAAACACTACATTAAGGGCAGTGGGAATCTGACACCATGAGAGATGATAGTAGCGAAAAATGGCAGTGTCAAAGATATAGAGTCATAGTAGTAGCAAGAGACATTCTGTAACCAAAGCCCTCAGGGCCTTGCTTATCCAACATTCACCCACAGAGTTTAGTTTCTTGTTGGACCAGCTTCCTGAACTTCAATTGCCAGCTGCTTCCCCCTAACATCATCACCACCATTTTAAAAATTAAATGTTTGACACCTCAGAATTTTTGTTTATCTCTATTTTTGCTCAGAGTAAGATTGATGGTGCAATGAATGCATTTTCAATTTTGAAGGGAAGAATCCCCTGCTGTATTTTATGGCATCCAGTAAGTATCAGCACTTACTTACCTGGTCATATTTACTTGATATGGTGAAAAATGTCAACTTAACCAGGCATGAGTTGGAAGGGCCACAGAAAGTCTAAGGCTGTGACAAATTTATTGCAAGCAATCAATTTTTATACTTTTATCAGAAACACAATATAATGATGATTTCTAGAATTAATACTGTGTTAGTTGCCAAGATACAATGACAATTTCATGCTATACAGGACACATAAGATTAAATCTAGGACAAAATATCCTATCAAGTTCCAAGGCAAACAGAAATGAAGGCAGTCTTAACATTTCACTGACTGAGGAAATGCTTTTTCTTAACAGAAACTGAAAATCACACAGTGTCCCAGAAGCCATGGATTCTTATTGAAAAACATATGACTCATGTCTCTCAAGGGAACTAGACCAGGCCCACTCCAAAATTCCCTAAAATATCCATGTTAGTATTTAGTCCCACAAATGTGGACACTTTTTGTAGTAAAAGGAGCAGTGGGCCTCTTTCCCACCACCTGGCTTTTGACCGGCTAGTTTATGCCCAAAATAACAACAAACAAATTGTATTCATTTAAATACTGCCTGGCCCATTATATCTAGCTTCTTCTTGGCTGACTCTCACATCTTAATTAACCCATTTCTAGTAATCTGTATATCACCACATGACTGTGGCTTATTGGAAAGGTTCTAACCCACGTCCATCTTGGTCTGGAGCTTCATGGTGTCTGCCTTACTTTGCTGCTTTCTCCCAGCATTCTGTTCGGTCTATTCCACCTATCTAAGCTGCTGTCCTATCAAAGGCCAAGGCAGTCTCTTTATTTGACTAATGAAAGTAACACATAGAAGATCCACCTACATCAACTTTTACTATGCTCTGTATTGCCTTCAATTTTCTCAACTCTTCTCTAGTTTGGTAAAAGGCAGAATTTAGGCTCTGAATATCAGAGTAACCACCAACTTTTGGCATGGTTTCTGGTTATAGCTGTGTATATTGATAAATATTGATGGAGATATATCAGATGAGTGTGCATACCTGTAATAATCTCAGTTAGACATATTTTTAGCCTCTTGAAATACAGTGAGACATGGCTTCTTGTTGAAATTTCACAATTTAAGTAGATCCTAGTAGGAGCTTATCCAAAAGTAAGCTAATACTGGTAATTTACTTTCTTGATGGAGGTGTCATGGAAAAGCATCCCTATTAATATGCCTTTACATTATTTGATTTCGGAAGTATCACACATGTGTGATGAATCATGACCATCAAGAGGACTCAGTTCCTCCTGGACAGCATAAAAGGCTGGTACCAACACCATCCCAAGAGGTTGTGTACATATTTTGAAAAATGGGAATATTCCCCTCTGATCTAAGTTCTGATGGTGTTATTTTTACCAGGTGAGAACTTCTTAACTCTTCATGTTTTCTCAAAGAAATAAATCACCCAAGACACAAGTTGAGCAGAAGTGTGTTTACCAAAGCATAGAAACTCAAGGTGAATGTACATTATAGAACAAAATTGGAGCAGGCTTGTCTGAAGGTAGGAGTCCACTGGGCTTTGCAGGATAGAATATACAGAAGTTTCTTATGGTTCCAACTCTATAATGTCATTGTTAAATTTCCCTCTTGGAAACTCCTTCTCTTCTAAAGGAAACTGTTCTAGGACCAAGATGTCCCTACAGGTTTTACTTTCCTGCCTATTACCGTACTCACTGGTGACTCTTATACCCAAATCCACAGGGTCCCCACAAAATCCAACAAAGGAGACCGAGTCCCATATGTAAAAGCAAAGAATCATTATTTTAATCAAATTTGCAAACTCAGTCTCTCTGCATGCCCAACGTATTGGAATAACCATAGGGTCCCAAGCTCAGTTAGAATTGGGATTTTATAGTAGTAAAGGTGGAAGTGAGGGGGATCTCTGGGATTCATGACCCCTGGTTGGCTGATAGCTGTCTAGGGGTGTTCTGGTGAGTATGTTCTGACAGGTGTTTCTATCTACAGTGCATGGAAAGGCAGACATTTTCTTTGAATGGTCTGCTCTTGGGTGAGGACTGGGTAATTTCAGCTTGTGGTTCTTTCCTGATAACAGGTATTGCTTCAGGGTAAACTGAGACTTAGGCCTCTTACTAAATTTTTCAAGGGCCAAGTTGGAAGTAAAGAACTTCCTTTGGGTGACCTGCGCAGATTTAACTTATCATGGCTGGCCCTCGCAATGACATTTATGGTCATTGGGAAAGTCCTCTTGTGCCTTAGTTTCTTACAAGGCAGAAGGAGCCCAACTCTAGCTTCAAAAGGACAGTTGAAAACATCAGGAGACACAGCAATCAAGGCAAAGCATTAGTCCCCTTGTCTCTCCCACAGGATGTACCTAACTAAAAAAGGTTGTTGGGCATGACCCTGGCTCTTTTCTGCTCCTATGGGCTTAGCTACCTGTTCTTAACAATATCAATCCTTTCTTAAAACTTCATTGTTGTTAACCATTGCTTTATAGTGCTTTTTTCTTCTGAAATGTTCTCCTAGATGTTGTGTTTCTACAAATCTTCACAAATTGAACTATTCTTGATGTTTTATGTATTGGAAAGTTATCAAAAATATAAGTGCTTAATTCTGACAAGTAATACTATTAAGATTTTGAGATGGTTCAGTGGTTAGTAGCATTAACTGCTCTTGCAAAGAACACAGGTTTTATCCCAGCACCCATATTGTATCTTGCAACCATTTATAATTACAGGTCCAGGGGATATACCACCCCATCTTTCTTGCAAGCACATGGTGCACAAATATGCATGCAAACAGAACATCCATCCATACAAAGTAACAATTTGTAAAATAAACCCTATTTTTAAATAAGATTTTATTTCAACAATGCATATGTATCATCAATTTAAGAAGCTGAGTTCTACATTGAATGATTAGGTTATGTATATCTATTCTAACAGTTATCTTATTATGCCTCTTTATAAAATTAATTCAGTCTTTTTATTCCTTTGATTACTTTGGAAAAATTGGCAATTCCTTTATTTTAAAGAAAAGTGAACATTCTAGAGTTTTATCATAATAAATGTTAATTTTATTTTAATTTCTCTTACTGAAGAACCTAAAAATATCATTTATTTTCTACTAAAATAACTAAATATTTACTGAATACTTCCTATTATTTCTGCATGAAGCATAAGCAATAGAGAGGCATGGAAGAAAGAAAGACAAGAATTTTAAAATGGGAAGACTTGTGGAACAGTGGGAAAGGACAAGGTCTTTTCTCGGTTTACTTTTATTGCCATAACAAGAAACTGGATGAGAAGAGACACCCAGTCTCACAGCTCTGAAGACTGGCAAATCCAGGGCCAATGTGTCAGCATCTGCCCAGGGGCTGTTGGTGGATCACAGCAGGGTGGGAAGCATCACATGGAAAGAGCTAGGTTTACCTAGAGTCACTCTCATTGTCACAACATTAGTCAGTTATTAATTGATTATTTTGTAGGTGTCAATCAAAGCAAACTCTTCCCTTCCCAACGTCCTTAAGTATGGGTCTCTGATGTCAAGGCAAAAGCAAGGATTTTAATTATGGTTCTATAGCCGAGATGTCAGATAGCTTGAAGTTGGGTAGAGGTAAAGATGAGAACATTGAAAACAGTTTTCTGCAGCTGTTTGCAGATGAACTCAAGCAGAGAATTCAGCAAATGCTACATAAGGCCTCCAGTGCTGTCTACTGGTCTGGGTTTCCTTCTATAGAACACCTCTCTCAGAATGCCACTAACCATGCACAGGAAAGGCCCACACCATTGACAAATAGTATGCAGAGATTTGGGGTGAAGTGTAAGGGAACAGAGATGACATTCACAACCGGGAGTTAGGGCACGGGATTTTAGAAAGGTTTCAGCTTCTTTTGGCAGATATAGCGTTGGTATACAGCACATTTTTCAGAAAGAACCGCAATTCCTGAGATAATGGCACATCTGTTGTCTTCACTCGTGACATTGATTTGTAAGCTGAAGAGTAAAGAAAAGCTGCTCTTAGTGTTTAGAATTATTATTTTTTTGTTATCACATTGGTCCTTTATTTTCTTTGGACTATAAAGAATGCTATAGATTTCATAGTGTTTAAGCATAGTAAACACATGGTAACAAAAATTATAAACACATAGAAACATTAAAGATACTGATGATGAAAACCTCTAGATCTTTTATTTGTACCCTTACTATAAAAGAATCCTTCCAGCAGGAATCTTTATAAAGATGTACAGAAAGGGAAAGGCTTGAGAATGAGAGATAAAACCTCCTCATTCTACTACTAACAAGGCATGTGATCATGAGAAAATCATATTCATTTTTCTAAGATTCATTTCCTTAAATACATAGGGTATAACCTACTAATGTCTAAGGATAGTGTTGATGTATACATATATGCATAAGAATAGTTACTCTCAGTAGGTACTCATAAAGTATTCAACTTACAGAGTGAACGCAGTGAATCTACAGAATTGGTTGCAGAAAAGCAAAGAACCTGAAGTCCTGGGGAGAAGAATCAGGTTCCACCCCTTCTCACCCTAGTGGCTGGGGAGTCTTTGCTTTATCACTCTAGTCCCACACCCAGCAGTTCTGGGATCACTGCAGGTGAGAATGAGACCAGAAGTCAAGCACTAACACAGACACCTTCTGGACTGATTACAAGAAAGGAGTGAGTTTAAGACTAGCCTGTCTCTAACATAGTGTATCACACATCAGGCAGTAGGTAGGGCTCCCTCACAGATGTCTCTTTACTCATCTTCATTTTTCTTGGGTACCCTTGGGCATGAACCGTAAATTTGATGTCATCCTAGTACGCAGCATGCTAATCAAACTATGAACTTCCCTCAACTGGATTTCTGCAAATGTCCCTACATTTTATTTTCCTTCCTTTAGCTTATTTCTTCAATCTTTATATCTTTTTTTTTTAACAACCCATCTTCTCAACTAAAGGTTTCTTTTTAAAAAGACTTTGATGGTTTATCAGGGCTTTCCTAGACAGGCTTCTGGTGAGGTCTCTAAAATTATCTAATTTATTCCCAAAAATAATCCTGGATGCAAAACTTTTACTTTCCACTTGGTTTTCTTACCCCAAGACAAGTACTCAGGGAGTTCAGATATTTACTTTTGTATGTGTGAGAGAGTGGGGGAGGAGGGAGAGAGGAAAGGTCAGAATTTGGGAAGAAGTCAGAGGACAATTGTAGGGAGATCCTCCCTTTCTACCTTGTTTCTATCACTGTGTCATGTACTCCAGGTTCACTGTCCTAGGTGCCTCTAGGTGAATTTCCTGTCTCCACTTCCCATCTCTCTGTAGGAGTGCTGTGATAGAGATGAGCCCTTGTAGGCCTGGCTTCTTATATGCTTTCTGTGAACTGAACTGGGAGGTTACACAGGTACAGGTTTTACCCAGAGCTGTTTTCTCAGGCCAGCAAAAACAAAAGCAGGGTTTTACTGACTCTCTTTCCATTGTAGCAGGGTGACCTCCAAATTTCCCTGGTCACTACCAGCTAATCAGAATGTTGCTTGATCCACAGAGTAAAATGGCAGATCATCTGAGCTTAATTTTAGACTTTACATATGTTTTTTTACTTATCATATTTTCACTCTTAGTCAAAATTATGTAATCATTGACATCACAGCACAATTAATAAATATACATGTGAAAACCAAGATCAACACACACACACACAAACACACACTGAAATGAAACCTTGTTATATATGAAAATATTTTGAAATGGCAATGTCTATTCTGATTCTGTCCAAAGAGTTTTATTTCATGACACAATAAGCTCCAACTTTTTTGCCACAATTCTAGAAGTAGTGCTTAAGAATTTCTGAGTAGGGACTGACTTAGTGGCTAAGTGTGCTTACTGCTCTTCCAGAGGACCCAGATTCAAGGTCCAGCATGCACAGGGCAGCTCACAATCATCTGTAACTCCAATTAGAGAATCTGATGTCCTCTTCTGACCTCTGTGAGCTCGGCATGCACATGATACACATACATACACTGAGGCACACACGCATAAGATAAAATGAATAAATAATTTTTAAAAAAATTCTATGTAAGTATGTATTTCTTGTCCTTTAAAACTAAGTTATAAATAAACTCATACATACAATTATAAAGAGTTGATGTCTACTGGTACATCAGAAGATTCAACCAAATTCTGAATTGTCTTTTCATCCTATTCTGACCCTCTCAAAAATTTAAAAACTAAATTAATATTACAAAATTCAGCATGCAGTGAATAGACGTGAATTGAGCATTTAAATTAGCTCATTTAATACTTACACATCAGTATTTAAAATAGATCCATTTATCCACTTCCAGATCTTCTCTGCTGGTACATAATTTAATCCAATAAAAAAAATCCATTTTATTTCTGCTTGAGAAATCCTGAATGAATTTCTATAATCAAAACAAAGTTGTAGATTTAATCTAAAATCTGTTTGTTTATTATTCACTTTCTTCTATTAACCTTCTTAAACACTATTATTCCATTTGAAGTGCCTCTTAGCTCCCAACCAACGTAATTCTCCCTGTTTTGTGAAACTCTTCTCTATATATTCATGTATATATAATTGATTCACCCCACTTTATTTAGTTTTTATATCATAAATCTGATTAGTCTCTCAGAATATGAGATGTTTATTATCCAAGACTCTACATTCTCAGCATAGACCATTGTTTAAAGTTCAGAGGTATCAACATAGCTTAAAGAGTGCATTATGTTCTACTGAGCAACGTTTATCAATTTACCAATTCTTCTTTGTTGTCAATGAGCAGCAAAGTGGCTTCTCTCGCAGAGCAGTCAATGTGACCTTCAGCCCAAGAATCGGAAGTTTGAGAAATAAATAAGCATTTATCCTTGTATGGTTGCCAATCTTTCAGGCATGTTAGTATGGCTGTTCTCCCTAGAGTAAGAAAGAAGACATGTATATATTTCTGCTCTGTTCCTGCTACACAATAATCAACTCCACACATCAGCTGCTTAATTAACTCATTCTGGAACAAGGTTAATGCTGTCATAAATCAAGAAATCACAATTAACGACAAAGGATTCATTTTATGTTTTATTTCCACTAATTTGATTCAGACAAAGTTAATTGTGCAACATGCTCATTAAAATACACAAATTTACTATCTGCCTATGAAGATCATATGCATTAGCAGTCTGAGGCAGCATGGGCAGGTGTTTAATATCATAGATGTCAAGGTCACACAGCTTCAAGGCAGTTCCCAGAACCAACACTTACAAACCCTGTGAGCCCTTGCAAGCTCTAAATGTTTTCATAGCTGTCTTCTCAGACAACATTATACAGATATAGTGTATTAAGGGAAGGCTTTGTGCATTTTGTAAGAAATAACTCATGATTTCTGTCAAAAATCTCTTATTCTCAGATAATTCAAGCCACACAATTACCTGTTGGTTCAGTCATGTTCACTCTTGGTGGTTTTTGCACTAAAAATCCCACTAGTAAATAAGAAAGTAAACAGAAAGGATTAAATGCAGAAAGAAATGGTGGAACATATGTTCTCTTTCTCAGTTCAGGAAATCAAGTTATTTCAATATACCTGAACATATGGACTGATGATAAAAATATTAGCAAACTGGATTAAGGGACAAGTGTGGAGACAGGATATATGGACCAGAAAAGCACAGAACACATGGATTCAAACAACTCTGGGGTGACATATGATTTGATAGACAAGTCCATTTGTGTTGTAGGTGTTGTTGCAACTCTTGGATTCCCACAGTCACACCTGAACTTGCACATCTTGGATAACACCCATCCCAATAGGATGTTTACAGGCATGTAGTGAGCTAATTTTGGGGACCTTTTAGTTTTCTTAGTTATCGTTACTTTTTGTCACACTTACTTTTTATAGATCAAGGTGCACATATGACATATCCCAGTTGGTTCTCATAAAAACTAAGAAGTATGGAAGACATGTGAGGATTCTGCAGTGAACAAGAAATGTTTCCATGTAACATTACATGCCATTGACCTTCCCCTAGGCGCAAAGTGGCCAAGTACCATGAAGAAGACTAATGTTGGATCACGTGCTCGTTCAGTCACAGTCCAACTGCCTGCAACTGAACGAGCACGTGATCCAACCAGATTCTCTGAATGTGGCCGGATTCTCTGAATGTGGCTGGCCCGGAGTCTTTCTGAGAAGCCCTGGACAATGACACTGGGACTAGTTTCCTCTGCATATACTGGATTTTTGGGATCCAGTCTGTTTGGATACTCACCTTCCTGGACCTGGAGGGAGGGGGGACGAACTTGAACTTTCCACAGGGCTGGAAACCCTGACTGCCCTTAGGGATGTAGAGGGAGGAGGAGGGGGGGAGTGGGAGGGTGTTGGGAAGAGGGGCGTAAATGGAAACTTTTATAATTTAATAAAATTACTTTCAAAAAAAACCAAAACAAAACAAAACAAAACAAAACAAAAGCAGGCTGAGTAGAATGTTGGGAATGTTTACATTAAAGTCTAAAACCAAAAAAAAAAAAAAAGAAGACTAATGTTTATGTGGGAGAATAATAAAGTTAAAACTCAGCCTCACTTACCTGAGACACTGATTCCAATCAGCGTCAAGACAAGAATCAGTCCAGCACAGCCGAGTTTCAGAGTCAACCGATGCCTGCAAGGGGACTGACGGGCATCTAAGAGCACAGATTATACTTGTTAAATCCACTAAGGTACATCTGGGGAAAGGGTCAGAGTTGTTTTCATCATTACAGAAGACCTCCCTTACCTACAGAACTCTTTCCAACACTCCTAGTGGACTGACTGAACTGGAGATGATAATACATTCTGTGTACACCATTTTAAAATTTACACACACACACACACACACACACACACACACACACGAGATAGAGAGATAGAGAGAAATAGACAGACAGACAGACAGACAGAGACAGAGACAGAGGGAGAGAGAGATTTTCATCTTAACTAAGCCCTTACTATACCTGGTGGCTGGTGGCTGTAATTTTCACAATTTGATGTGATTACAGTAAAATTGATTTTTTTTATTTAGAGAACTTTTTACTACACCTTTTATTTATGGAATGCATTATAGCTACTCTTTGCCATGACTGGGCTCTCAGTATCATTACTTGTGCAATTTGGGACCTTCATACTATGAGTGAGTGTTAATGGGGCTCAAGCACTGGTGACTAGTATTTCATGGCTTAGATGCTCTGAGTGCTCATCATTGCTCCCAGGTCAGGGTCCAGCTTAAAACAATGAGTTACATGTTTCTAGAATTTTACAGTTAGCAACTTAGTATCACTGTTGAATGCAAGTAACAAAAATCACGATCAATGAAATCTCAAATATTTTGGGTATTGTGCCATAAACTGGCATACACTAAGTCTATAGCAGAAAAAGGTGGTACTAAAATTAGCATTGGTCGATTCTGTATAACCACCACGGTCAGTAGTGTTATGGTCCATTGGAGGCAAGAATGCAGTTTAAAATAACATAAATAAGGAGCTGGTGTTGGTTCAAACTTTGAAAGTCTGACTTTGTATGATTTACTTTAGGCATATTTAGCATATCACAATATGTTCAAAATTTTCCCGGTGATGTCTAATTCATTTCATATGGAAAATAAAGCTCAAGGTATAACTTTATCAAAATTCTGGTGAAGTATGGGGGACACCTTCTGTAAAAATACGTTCTAGTGACTGGCAATTCTGTGTTAAGGGTCTGGGAGATGATGTGCTATTCTCTTGACAACACACATGCTGCAAAGGTCACCAGGCTATTAAACCTGTCTAACCCCAGACTTCGGTGTAGATAACAGATTATCTATCCCTTCCTCTGAAGAAATAATCTTGCGTACTTAACATTTCTGGTTCCTATAGTGCTTATCTCTGTGCACAGGGACTTCCTTGTCTTTTATATAAAATAATGTACACTAAGTATACCATACTGTGCTGTCTGAACACCATGACTGAAATTCACTATGTAAGAAAGATCATTATTAAATGTGGAAAAAAGAAAGAGAGGCAAAAATAGCAGAAAATTTATAGGAGAAAGAAGACAGCTCTGCTTAACCTTAGAAACCATCTATTTCTGTAGACCCCGTACTTCACTACTGATTAAAAGTGTGCACATAAAAGAAGGACAGTTACCACATATACTCACTCATAAGTATTTTCAAACACAAAGCAAAAAAGCACACAAATCACAAATCCAGAGACCCTAGACAACAATGGGGACTCTAAGAGAGGTATACATAGATCTAATCTACATGAGTAGAATCCAAGATTATTAAATATGGAACATGGGGACTCTGAGATTGTGGAATGGGAGGGGAGAGGCAGGAAGGGGAACAGAGAAAAATGCAGAGCTCAATAAAAATCAATAAAAAATATATGGAACGCTTTCAGACTTTCTCCATCATATTCTCTAAACAGATAGCTATAAGAACTGTTTGTGTGGCATTGGAATCCTATTAGATTCTGTGGTAATCTTGAGACTATCTTAAGTACACAGGGATATGCACGTATGTCCTTTGCAAATACCACACTTTATAGAAGAGACAAAGTTATATACAGAAGTTCAGTAAGCAATCTACTGTGGACAGTGAGCAAAGCAGTGTGGTCAGAGGTGACATAACTCTGCCATGGAAGAATTCAGAGAGGTACTGGACTTAAAAAATGAGAGCATGGATGATAATTTCATCTGTGTAGGGTGTGCTGGGCTGCTGAACCAAAACACAGGCACCAAATATACCCCACATGTGAGAAGATCAATGAATTTATATCAGCCTAGAATTTTTCCTGAAGCCTAGAGTTACATAGAGTGACTAATCCTGATAAATAGGCCTAACAAATCTTTTCCATTTATATGTACAAATATGTATATATACATATGCAGATATTTATTTCAAGACAATATTTATTTATATATAAAAATATCAAGAAAGAAGTATAGAATAATGTGCATATATAAAAGTCATTTCTGTCTGTCCTTACTCTTTCCACCTTTGATATTATGAGTGATAAAATAGAGTTATCTTAATATATTTACTATTGTGAAATTTTCTACTAAACCTAATATTTTAAACAGTCATATTTCAAATTCATCATAATATAACATAGAGAAATTCAGTACAGTATACTATTGTGGCAATAACTTTAACCTTCATAAGCTAGTAGTTTCTTCATTTGTCAAGTATTTGGGCAATATCTACTTTGTAAACTTTTAGAATTTATGAAAAGAATTCTCACAAATTACTAATCATAGTGTCTAATACAGATTACTATTCAATAAACAGTAGTTATCCTTTTTTCCTTAAGGGTTTCCATTTTCTTGTTCTTGTTTTTAACTACAAGACTGGGTGACTTTAGAAATCGCTATTCCTTTAAGATAAGATATAAAGAATTGCAAAACTACCTTTCCTGTGTGAGCTGTTTTGTTTGAAATTAGACTGAGTTGATAGGCCGTTCATCGCTGAAAAGCCCACGTGAACATTAGTGGATGACTTGCAACAGGCATTCTTTGGTATCCACAGAATACTAAGTATTCCGCATTGTCTGGACATTTTAGTCATTTCCCTTAAGCTGACCTGAGATTACAGAATGATTTTTCAAATCCCTTTCCATCTGACACTATTCCTTCTGATTTGATCTTTACACCACACTGGCCATGCATGTTCTCCTACAGCATGACATGCGTGTTCTCTCTTTGCATTTGCTGTTCCAGTTTCTTACAAGACTCATCTCTCAGATGCTCAACCTTAGTCCCTAGGATTTTTCAGACTTGGTATATTTTACATCCTAGGAAGACATGGCATGATTACTCTGAATGATGTCATGAAGTTTCTCAAGATAAAAATCTCAAGTTTTTTTTTGCTAGCTTTCAACATAATGCAAGTTTTTATACAGATATTCATAGTTATGGCTGCACACCTACATATAAACATAATTTAAACTCTACAAGGAAAAAAGAGATACTCACAGTTGTTTACAGCCAGAATTTCTTCATCTAGAGAAATATTGAAATGTAGTGCTTATTTCTAAATAAATGAAAGACTTTTTGCGATAATTTATTCATCTCTTGATCAAAATAAACCTTTGGTCATTTGGTCACAAAGCAGCTCACAGCCCATATCTCTATTTCTGTGTTTGTTTGTTCATTGACAGATCCATTCACTATGCCACAGTTTGAGTCATTTAGTTAATGGGCCCAGGTGGATTCATTTCTTTCACTGCTGGGTAAGAATTTTCTCTTCACAGGTTTTTCTCTTACCGTATTCTATTTTTGTCCTTCAGGTTTCCATTCAAACTGAATGTTTAAGGGGTAATAAACACATTTCTGGTTCTTCTAGTGCTTTTCTCTGTGCACAGAGACCTCCATGCCTTTTATATAAAATAGCATACATTATATCTACCATACTGTGCAGTCTAAACACCATGAATGAAATCTGTTTTTTGTGTTAACAATATCAACTACTACTAATTGGATGCATTTTATTTATTAGATAATGAATTCTGAAGATGATTAGGTAATACAGGTCCTTTATAAACATGGAAAAAGCAAAAAGAAAAAAGGAAGGGAGAAATAGTAGAAATGTTTATAAGAGAAAGAAGAAAGCTCTCCTTTGCCTTAAGAAGGAACTATTTCTGTAGATGCAGTTTTTCACTACTAAAAGTGTGCACATAGAAGAATGGCAATTATCACTAGTACTCACTCATAAGAAATTTTTAAACATAAAGCATAGAAAACAGCCAACAAATTACATGTCCAGAGAACCCAGACAATATTGAGGACCCTATGAGAGACATATATAGATCTAATCTACATGGGTAGTAGAAAAAGCAAGATCTCCTGAGAAAATGTGGGGCATGGAGTCCTTGAGAGAGGGTAGAAGGGGAGGGGAGAGGCAGGAAGGGGAGCAGAGAAAAATGTAGATCTCAATAAAAATAAATAAAAGAAATATCTATGGAACACATTCAGACTTTCCACATTATATGCGCCAGACAAATACTTATAAGAGCTGATTGCATGTCGTTGAAATCCTGTTACTGTAGGAAATCTTGAGACTATCTAAAGCACCCAGGGATATGCATGTATGTTCTTTGCCAATACCACACTTTATAGAAGAGACAAACTTATATACAGAGGTTCTGTAAGCAATCTACTGTGGACAAGAGCAATACTGTGTGGTCAGAGGTGGCATAAGTCTGTCATGGAAGAATCCAGAGAGGCACTGGACTTGAAGAATGAGACCATGGATGATAATTACTTCTGTGTTGGACATACTGGGGTGCTGAATAAAGATGCATGCACCATAAAAAATTTCATGGCCCCAAAGATACCCCAAATTAGAGAAGATAAGTATATTTATATAAGCCTAGAATTTTTCCTGAAGCTTAGAGTAATATAGAGTGACCAATCCTATTAAATAGGCCTAACGAGTCCTGCTTCTCTTTATATGTACATATTTGTATACATATATATATATATGTGTGTGTGTGTGTGTATGTGTGTGTGTTTGTATATACATGTACATGCAGATATTTTTTTTCAAGACAGAATATATATTTACATATAAATATATCAAGAAAGAAGTATGGAATAATCTGTATTTATAAAAGTTATTTCTGTCTGTGCTTACTCTTTCCACCTTTGAAATTATGAGTGACAAGGTAGAGTTATCATCATATATTTACTACTGTGAAATTTTCTACTAAAGCCTAATATTTTGAACAGTCATATTTCAAATTCATCATAATATAACATAGTAAAATTCAGTACAGTATACTATTGTGGCCATAACTTTAACCTTCATAAACCAGTAATTTCTTCATTGGTCAAGTATCGGAACAATACCTACTTCATAAACTTTTAGAATTCATGAAAACAATTCACACAAATTCCTAAGCATAGAGACTATTCAATTAACAATAGTTGTCTTTTTTTCCCTCAACGTTTGTTGTTGTTGTTGTTTAACTAAAAGTAAAAGACAGGGTCACTTTAGAAATTTCTATCCCTTTAAGAGTTGATATATAGAATTGCAAAACACCTTTCCTGAGTGAGCTGCTCTGTTTGAAATTAGACTGAGTGGATAGGCCGTTCATCACTGAAAAGCCCATGTGAACATTAGTAGATGACCTGCCACAGGCATTCTTTGGTATCCACAGAATCCTAATTTTTCTCCATTGTCTGGACATTTTAGATGTTCACCTTAAGCTGATCAGAGCTCATAGAATGCTTTTCAAATCCCTTTCCTTCTGTCACGATGACTTCTGATTTGATATTTACAACACACTGGCCATGTGTGTTCTCCTACAAAATGACATGCCTGTGAGAACATTTGCATTTTCTGTCCCAGCTTTTTACAAGAGTCATCTCTTAGATACTCAGCCTTAGTCTCTTGCTTTGTTCAAACTGGCATTTTAATTTCCCTGGAAGACGTGGCATGATCACATTGCATGATGTGATGAAGTTTTTCAAAATAAAATTTTCAAGTTTTTTTTTCTTGCTAACTTTCAGCATCATACTAGGTTTTATACAGATCTTCATGGTTTACTGGCAGTGCACCTACATGTAAACATAATTCAGCTCTATGAGGAAACAAAAGATACTCACAGGGGTTTACATCTGGATCTTCATCATCTAGGGAATATTGAAACATACTGATTATTTCTGAATACATGGAAGAGTCTTACTTATTTTTTTAATACCAGAAGATTTCCTTTTATATTGGCTATAGAAATTACAACAAATTAATAAGTTAGAATTTTTCTGAAGGATAATTAGTATCATGAGCACAACCCTCTATGGATTAAAACCATAATTATGTTAATGTTTTGCTTTGTCTAAATATTGTACACCAGTTATCTCTCTCTTCAGAGCAACCTATGAGAAAATATATACACGTTTTACAGACCATTTTAAGATGAGAAAAACTGAGTCTTGGAGTTTAATGCTCTATGTGGTCCCCTTCCTCCATTAAGTTGAGAGAGGTTTAAATACAAGTGACTGAGACGAGCTAAACGGGTGAGCAGGTATGGTTGTCTTCTGGCCAGATTGTTGTTAGTTTTGATTTTTAAACCATCAGCCTTAAGAATTTTAATAACATTTAAAAGAGCAAAATGGAAATAAAACAATATGGATTAAAATGCCAACATAACTTAATACAGTTCCATAATTCACTTTATCTTACAACTAATGAGAAAAAGCAAATGACAAACTTCTGAGAGTTATTATTAATCCTCTCTCTTTACCAAGTAAAAATGTTTAATAGATTATATAAATCAAGTAGAGTAAGAAAACAACTTATTTAATCTGCATTTGAGGCAGTGTACATTATAGTAATATCTGTAGCAACATTACAGAGAATGGGAATATTGTAAAGAAATGTTGATTATTAATTATTCAAATATTAATAAACCATATGAAAAAAGTTCATAAATTATGTGTTGAACTAAATATATATATATAAAAGCAGCTACTATAAATTGAATACTTAACATATATTTTTAGTTTAATTACTATTTTACTGTCTACTGATATAAGAGGCTTCTATTTTATTTTTTTATTTTATTTTTATTTTTACTTATTTATTTATTTATTAAAAATTTCCACCTCCTCCCCACCTCCCATTTCCTTTCCCTTCCCCACCTCTCCCTCCCTCTCTAGTCCTAAGAGCAGTCAGGGTTCCCTGCCCCATGGGAAGTCCAAGGTCGTCCCCCCTCCATCCAGGTCTATAAAGGTGAGCATCCAAACTAACCAGGCTTCCACAAAGTCAGTCCATGCAGTAGAATCAAAATCCAATGCCATTGTCCTTGGCTTCTCAGTCAGCCTTCATTGCCAGCCACATTCAGAGTGTCCATGTTGATCACATGCTCCATCACTCCCAGTCCAGCTGGCCTTGGTTAGCTCCCATTAAGTCAGTCTCACCATCTCAGTGTTTGGATGAACCCCTCGTGGACCTGACTTCCTTGCTCATGTTCTCCCTCCTTATGCTCCTCATTTGAACCTTGGGAGCTCAGTCCAGGGCTGTTTTGATCTTATAGAATGTTTTTCAAATCCCATTCCATCTGTCACCATTCCTTCAGATTTGATAGTTACACCACACAGGCCATGTATGTTCTCCTATGACGTGTCACGAGAGTTCTCCCTTTGCCTTTTCTGTCCCAGCTTCTTACAAGACTCATCTCTCAGATACTCAGACTTAGTCCCTTGCATCTTTTCAGAACTGGTATCTTACATCTCTCAGCAAGATGTGGCATTATCACGCTGCATGATGTGATGAAGCTTTTCAAGATAAAAATTTCAAGTGTTTTATCTTGCTAGCTCTCAACATCATACAAGTTTTTATAGCAGATCTTCATAGTTTACTGGCTGCACACCTACATGTAAGCATAATTTAAACTCTACAAGGAAAAAAAAAGATACTCACCATTTTTTACAGCCGGATCTTCTTTATCTAGAGAAATATTGAAACATAGTGGTTATTTCTGAATAAATAGAAGAGCCTTGCTACAATTTATTGACCTCTTGATCAAAATAAACCTTTGGTCATTTGGCCACAGAGCAGCTCACTGCCCATATCCCTATTTCTGTGTTTGTTTGTTCATTGACAGATCCATTCACTATGCTGTGAATCTACCACAGTTTGAGTCGTTTAGTTAATGGGCCCAGGTGGATTCATTTCTTTCACTGCTGGGTAAGAATTTTCCCTTCACAGGATTTTCTCTGATCTTATTCTATTTTTGTCCTTCAAGTTTCAATTCAAACTGATTGTTTAAATGATAATATGTACAATGAAAAGAGAGACATTTTCTAGTCTCTTGATTTAGGACAATGGACAGTATTATTGAAGAAAGTCTCATTGTCTTTCTCAACTTTCATTTTCTTATATCCATTTCAAGAAGTCCCCTTGCCTACTTTTTTTTTTATGGTAGGCATATGAGGAAAAGGAAAACATGCTTCTTTCTATCAACAAAGACTGGATCATTGGAATTCTACTAGAAGTATCAAATTCTTCACATTCCCCTGGCCCTTCAAGCATGTGTGTGTGTGTGTGTGTGTGTGTGTGTGTGTGTGTGTGTGTGTGTGTGTGTTTTGAGTAGAGCTGCAGGTGTATTTATGTATGTATTTGTGATTGTAGATTTGTGGCTGAAGGTATGTGCCTCTCTGCCAATGCACGTATATGCATGCCACACATACAGAGATGAAGGAACAACTCTTAGGATTTGATTCCCTTTTCACCAAGGTATTGGGAATTGAACTCTGGTTGTCAGGTTTATGAAGCAAGATCTTTCACCTGATGAGCCATCGCCATCTCACCAACTTAAAACAATAATTTAAAACTGTTATAGAACAGGAGACAATTAACTCTAGAAGATTTCCCAGTGTTGAATAAATAAATAAAGCAACTTACCTGAGGGAAGAGAAGATGATGCAAACCTAAGCTCTTGGATTTCAGCAGAGTTTATGGTAGCATATATCGCTGATGTGTCCGTTGTCATGGGGAGATGTCACACTGACTAGTGAATGAGGGCAGAATTTAAGTTCTAGGAGAGGATATGAACAAAGGGAAATCCTTTTCCTGTGACTATCATGTTCTCTGTGACCACACACATTCACACTTGCGGTTGAGGGTTTCTCCAAGGGTATTGAACTTGGTATCCATTATGCTCACACAGGTAACATATTTTTTTTCTTTAAAACAATAAATGTGACACATGCCATGCTTTCTGAAAAAATCTGGATAAGCCTTCTTTTTTCTTATTTCTTTAACTTTCTGTTCTCAGTTACTCACTTGGGGGCAATCAATGCTCAGGGTAAATGAAATTAACCACTCAAGAATGACTTTAAATTTAAGGGATCCTTACCTATTGAACTCCCAGAACTTATGATATAAGATGTTTTGTGATTTGTAAAGATAAAAATTAATGCATCAAAGTCTGTGTTTATACTTGACAAGAGTTGACAATATAAAACCCTCCTGAGAGATAGAGACAGAGACCTGCATTGGAGCACTGGACTGAGCTCCCAAGGTCCAAATGAGGAGCAGAAGGAGGGAGAACATGAGCAAGAAAGTCAGGATCACAAAGGGGGTGTCCACCCACTGAGACGGTGGGACTGATCTAATGGGAGCTCACCAAGGCCAGCTGGACTGGGAGTGATGGAGCATGTGATCAACATGGACACTCTGAATGTGGCTGGCACTGAAGGCTGACTGAGAAGCCAAGGACAATGGCACTGGGTTTTGATTCTACTGCGTTGACTTACTTTGTGGGAGCCTCGTTAGTTTGGATGCTCACCTTTATAGACCTGGTTGGAGGCGGGAGGACCTTGGACTTCCCACAGGGCAGGGAACCCTGACTGCTCTTATTACTGGAAAGGGAGGAAGAGGTGGGGAGGGGGAGGGAAAAAAGGAGGCAGGGAGGAGGTGGAAATTTTAATAAATAAATTAAAAAATTCTCCTGAGTTATGCAGACAGTGAAGGAAGCTGTGAGACGAGGACATGAAGACATAAAAGTAATTTAAAAAGGAAACAAAGAAAAAAAAGAAAAGAGAAAACATGACTGACAAATTAGGAAAATCAATTAGGAGAGACCAACACCTATCATTATCAGTCCTGAGGGGCCATGTGACATTAACAACTTTTATCTGAATAAAGGGACTTCATCAATCTGAAATACGAAGAGTGGAGGGCATGGGTCTATGGGATGTGTTATCTCTTCCAAAGATTTCCAGATCTAGAGACTGAAAACAGGTCAACAAATTCCAAATCAGACATACAAGAAGAAAAGCAAGAATTCCTTAAAGTCATCTTCTGTTGTCACTAAAAACTGTATAAGTCACTCACAACTACATGAACATGGCAACAGTCTCCTGATCGTGAGTTCCAGGTACATACTCATAACATAGGTAGCACACTTTTGCCCTAAGACCAATGATGATTATGAAGTGAGGGGGAAATCTGTCTAAAGCTCTCACAGCACACTTAAGACTCTGTGAAACCACTGCAGCTGTCACTGTTTGATGCCAGTCATGTCACTCAATGCCCGCATAGAATTCTGCCTCATGCTTCATCTCAACCTAAGATTTCCACAGGTGTGCAAGGCTTCCCAGAGATATCAGTGTTGAGTGATTCTATTCGTATCTAGAAAAATGATCAAATTTAGCATATAAAATTTTTTATTTATATTGTATAAGAAATTATAGTTTTATTATAAATAAAAATCACCAAAAAGTTTGTTAACCATGCATATTTGATGAAGTTCTCCTTTTGGCAAGATGGTACAGCCTTACACGGGAAACATGTGAGCAAACATTCCAAGTATTTAAGTTCATACATGGAGCACAATTGAATTAGCAGTCCTTCAGCCAATGAAAGCTGTGGAAATGAATTGGAAATATCAATAAAGTGAAGAGATTCTTGATGCTCTAAGAAGATTCAAATGATCTGTGAGGACCCTGAACTTGAGCTGTAAATTCTGAAGCCAGCTGTGGCTAGCTCTGCTAAGAATGGCAGATCTGAGGTATGATGGCTTCAGGTAAAGATGCTTACTAATGCTTCAATGCCACAAAGTGTGAACAAAGTGGAAAACCTACCAGAGATGAGTGTCATTTGTTCACATGAATGTGGAACATATTGACCACTTGTTGGTTACAAACTTTTAGGAGCAATACCAAGTACTGAATAGTCACGTAGTCATCATTCTAAAGTTATAAAAGTACACTCTCCTGAGAATGCACTCCTGGAGAACTCAATCCTGCTGATTATGCTATTTGACCACCTGATTGCTAGAATACTTCTACAACTAAAAGTATCAGAATTCAACACTACCTTGATATTTTAAAAATAAAATACAAATGTGCAGGAAGAGAGACAGACAAACAGATAATGTTTCAGAGAGATTACAGTGTGGTGTTGCATACAAATAATGAGTTATTAAATAGAAATAAGCTAAATCGTAAAAGACTGTTAAGTAATCAGTGTTTTAGAATGTAATAGTAGTAAAAGCAATATTTAGTATCTCAAAAAGAAGTAATGACAAAGTATTAATAAAAAACCTACTTTGATTTGAAACTGTTTGAGGTAAATAGTGGCAGTTGAAATGCATTGAAAAATATAGTAAAATATAAACAATAGTACTCTTGAACATGAAAAAAGTGATAAAGGAATAATTTTATTAAAGAAGGCAAATTAACTATGAACCAGAATGTGGTAATTATGAGGTAATATTATTTGCTTCAGGTTAAAAACACTAAGGAATGGTGATGTGAGCAGAATGGCTCACCAGGAAGCTGTACAACCTCTTTATCCACAAAGACATTGCTTTAGGCATTGTCATACAGACCTCAGCACCTCTGCAGAAGTTTAAAAAGTAGCTAGGAAGTAGTAGTACCAGCCCATTTTAAAACCAAGAAGATGTTTTACAGAGAAGGGAGTGGGTAACTGATGCAGCTCTCTCTTGCTTCATCCAGCAGAAGATCTGGGTGGAAACTTGCCACACTGTTGAAAGATAAATCTATCCAAATTTTTCTTAGAGGCTGAAGAAAGGAAATGGAACCCAGTTTGTGTTCTTGCTGAGGGGTGAACCTGAGAGGCCAGTATGGATCTGGGGACAGAGCCTCAAAGGACTTAAGGTTTCTTTTCCTGGGAACTTGATGGAGGAGGGTTATCTGTCTATTGTGTTACTTTCATTGGTCAATAAAGAGACTGCCTTGGCCCTTTGATAGGACAGAAAATTAGGTAGGCGGAGTAAACAGAATAGAATGCTGGGAAGAGGGCTATGAGGCAGACGCCATGGAGCCAGCCACCAGGTCAGACATGCTGAATCTTTTCCGGTAAGCCACTACCTCGTGGTGCTACCATGAGATTATTAGAAATGGGTTAATATCAAGATATGAGAGTTAGTCAGTAACTAACTCTCTAGAGATAATGGGCCAGGCAGTGTTTAAATGAATACAGTTTGTGTGTTATTATTTCTGGGGCTAAGCTAGCCGGGCGGGAGCTGGGCAGGATGAAAAGCAGGCCTGCCTGCAGCTCCTTTCTACAGGAACTGTGCTTTTCTTCATAAAAGACTGGAATTATCAACCCCAATGCCACTGTGTCCTTGGTCTGTCATGCTCTTTGGATTTTTCATGTTCTCTTTGGGCATCACTGCCTGGTTAGTTTCCTATGCAGTTTCCCCCATCATATGAAAGCTTCCTTTTGACTGTCCGATTTCTTCCATGGAAATGGTGCATAAAATGCTGTATTTCTATTTAAAAAGAAACAAAACAAAAACTCCCTCATCCACACCCCCAGTCTCTAAGCATTGTTCTGCCTTGTTTGTTAACTATGTTTATTTCAGTGCTTTGTTTTATTTTATGTATTTAATTGTTTTGCTTTCATGTATGTATGTATACCACATGCTTACCTGGTGTCTAAGAGTGTCAGAAAAAGTTACAAATCGCTTAAAAGTGGAGTTACCGTCAGATGTTAGCTGTCATATGGGTGAAGGGAATTGAATGCATATTCTC